ACGGCTCTGCCGCAGTGGCTGAGACTGCTGCTGCAGCGCAGGTCCGTTCGGGGAAAGGCCGCCGCCCCAAGGCTGGGCGCGGCGGAGGAGGCGGCGGGGGTGCGGGCGGGGGTAGTGGTGGGGTCGGGTCGCCTGGTACTCGAGTGGACGAGGGGACCCTGCCCAGTTCAGCTGAGTCGCCGCCCCTGCAGGTGCAGCAGCCGCAGCAGCCGCCGCAGTCGCAGCCTTCGCAGCAGCCGCAGCAGCTGTCGCAGACGCGGCAGACGAGTGTCCTCCCGCCAGGGTGGCCGGGCGCTGGCGGTGGCCGGGCGCGTGGTGGTGTGCCGCGTGGTGGCTCTGGCGGTGGGCGTTGTCAGTACCAGATCCAGACCGGTCCTCGCCGCGGCTTCGTTTGCGGTAAGCTCGGTCACTCCACTCCCCGCTGTTTTCGTCGCCTGGACGACCTCTTTCGTCAGCGCTTCGGCCCGTCGCCAGACCTCCCGGACTGGCACAGTTTGCTTAGTCGTCAGATTCAGATCTTTGATATGGACATGGATGCCATTGTTTCTGCTCTGCATGTGATGTATGCTGATGACTCTAGTGTGCTTCCCGCTTATTACTCACTGTTGCCTAGTGTATGTGTGCCTAGCTTAGCCTCCCCTGCTGCGTCAGGTGTAGGATCCCCTGCTTTGTGTAGTCTTGGTGCTTCCGCCGTCGTTCCGTCGCCAGACCCCTCGGCTTCGCTTTCCTTCACCTTGGACTCTGGCGCCTCTCGGTGTTTCTTCCGCGACTCCACCACCCTGACGCCGCTTCCTGTTCCTGCTGTCGTTTCTCTTGCTGACCCCTCCGGCGGTCCGGTAGTCGCCCGCAGTTCCACCACCCTTCCCTGTCCGGCGGTTCCTTCGGGTTCTCTTACAGGTCTGCATATCCCCTCGTTCTCCAGGAACCTAGTTGGTGTCGGCTGCCTCCAGGACCTTGGCGTCACCACTACGTTCCCTGGTCACGAGCGGTATGCTGTCTGTACCGAGGCCGCCACTGGTGCCCCCCTGTCCACGTTCCCCCGGGACCCGGTGTCCGGCCTGTTCACTCTGGACACCGTGACCCCCCCGGCTGGAGCGCCCCCTCAGGTGGCTGCGTCTACCCAGGTTGCTGCTGCCTGCTCCTGTCGCTCCCTCACTCACCCGACCCTCCTGTGGCACCACCGCCTAGGTCACCCTGCGCTCCCGCGTCTGCGTCACATGTCTCAGCACGGTCTCGTCCTTGGTCTCCCAGGTTCGCTCTCCGCGTTTCCCTCCTCTCCAGCCCCACCTTGCACGCCTTGTGTCGAGGGTCGGCTTCGCCGTGCCCCTCACTCCTCCTCGTTTCCCCCTACCGCCGCGCCGCTGCAGACCCTGCACCAGGACGTCTGGGGCCCCGCCCCCGTCCCTGGGCCGCGTCGAGAGCGCTACTTCCTTGTGCTTGTCGACGACTTCACTCGTTATACCACAGTCTTTCCCCTGGAGCGCAAGGCCGACGTGCCTGGCGCTCTCATCCCTTGGCTTGTCTCTGCGCGTGTCCACCGCGGTCTCCCTGTCTTGCGTCTTCACTCAGACCGTGGTGGCGAGTTTGCCTCCGGTGTCCTTGGTCGCTTTTGTCGTGCGGAGGGCATCACCCAGACGTTCACCCTACCGGACTCCCCACAGCAGAATGGGGTCGCTGAGCGACGCATCGGTCTGGTCATGGAGGTCGCTCGCACCTCCATGATCCATGCCGGTGCACCCCATTTTCTGTGGCCGTTCGCTGTGCGCTACGCTTCTCACCAGCTTAACCTATGGCCGCACCCTCAGCAGCCGCAGGTTTCGCCGACCCGTCTTTGGACTGGGTCCCCTGGTGACGCGTCTGCGTTCCACGTCTGGGGCTGCCTTGCTCACGTCCGTGCCTCCGGCACGGACAAGCTCACTGCCCGCACCCTTCCCTGCGTCTTCCTCGGTTTTCCCCTTGACGCGTCCGACTGGCACTTTTACCACCCGCCGTCTCACCGCTTCTTTCACTCTCGTGACATCACCTTTGACGAGTCTGTCTCCTACTACCGCCGCTTTCCCCACCGTGGTCCCCCGGTTACCCCCCCCCTGTTCCTGGTCACCCCTTCCCCGGTAGTCCCTGCCCCTCCTCCTCCTCCTCCCCGTCCCGCCCCCTCTGGTGTGTCCCACGTCACCCCCCTTCCGTCCGTGGACCCGGTTGAGGAGTCTTCTGACTCTGGTGGCCCTCCTGTGCAGTCCTCGCCGGCCGCCCCTCCCCAGGTGTCCCCTTTCCAGTCCCCTCCTCCACCGCCACTATCGCTGCTGCAGCCGTCGCCGCCGCCGCCGTCGCCTCCGCCGCCGCCGTCGCAGCCCCCGTTCGCTGACTCTGGGGGTGCTCGTCCTGGTCGCCCTGGGGGTGGTCCCTCTGGGGGTGCTGGTGTGGAGAGTGCCGGTGGTCGCCGAGGAGCAGCTTGCGGTCCAGGTGTCGCCGTTGTGCCGCCGCACCAGCGGTCCCCGCCGGTGTCCGCCCTTCGCCTGCTCTGCCTTCCGTCCCCCGACCCTGCGTCGGTTCCTCCCCGACCGTCTCCTCCTCTTCCTGTCTACGGCCCTATTTTCCCTCCGCCGGACTCGTCCCCGGCTCGTCTCCCCCCTCGTTCCCCTCCTGTGTCCCCTCCCCTGTCTCCTGACCCGACTCCTCCGTCGCACGTCTGGTCTCACCGCCCCTCCCGTGCTCGTCCTGCCTCGCCTGTCTTGCGTTCCCACCCTATGTTGCTTCCTTCCCACGCGTCTCGTCCTCCCCTTCTCCCGTCGCCTCCTCCGTCCTCCCTTGTTGTTGCGCCCCCCCCGCTGTCCGACTACCTTCGTGCCACTCGTCCTCTCGTTCCTCGGGTCCTTGCCTCTCTCGTTACCGACCCGTCTGTTCCGGTCTCGTGCCTTGACGCTCTTGTCGCTGCTGTCGCTGACTTCGCCTCTACCCGCCGCCTTGACTACGCCTCCGCTCTGGTCTCTGACCCTGCCTGTCCTCCGTCTGTCGGGGGTGCTCCTGCCCTTGGCAATGACGTCCTGGAGGACCGCCAGTTCGAGCTTGCTTTCCTCTCCGAGGCTGCTCCCCATCTCTGTTCCATGCTGCTAGTCCCTGAGGGTGACCCAGACGCTTTCGACATCCCGACCCCTCGCACTTACGCTGAGGCGACTTCGGGACCCTGGGCCTCACAGTGGATAGCTGCCATGGAGCAGGAGATGGCATCTTGGAGATCCACCGGCACCTTCGTCGACGCAGTTCCCCCACCTGGGGTGAACGTAGTCGATGGTCGCTGGCTCTTCAAGGTGAAGCGCCCTCCTGGAGAGCCACCTGTCTTCAAGGCGCGCTATGTGGCTAGAGGCTTCAGTCAGCGTGAGGGGGTGGACTTCTTCCAGACTTTCGCTCCGACCCCGAAGATTACTACTCTTCGGGTTCTGTTACACGTAGCAGCTCAGCGTGACTACGAGCTTCACTCCCTCGACTTCTCCACTGCCTTCCTTCAGGGCAGCCTACACGGGCAGGTCTACCTGCGTCGCCCTCCGGGCTTTACTGGCACCTTCCCTCCTGGGACCCAGTGGCTCCTGCGGCGCCCCGTCTACGGCCTGCGCCAGGCTCCCCGTGAGTGGCACGACACTCTTCGTGCTACACTTGCTGACCTGCAGTTCTTTCCGTCTTCCGCAGACCCTTCACTCTTCGTTCGTGCTGGCCAGACTCCGTTCTACATCCTTGTTTACGTCGACGACCTGGTCTTTGCCACGGCAGACAGGGACGCACTGGCCTCCGTGAAGGCAGAGCTGCTGAAGAGACACACCTGCACTGACCTTGGAGAACTGCGCCGTTACCTTGGCTTGCAGATCTCCAGGGACAGAGCTGCGCGCACCATCACCCTGACTCAGTCACACTTGGTGCGCCAGGTCCTTCAGAGGTTCGGCCTTCAGTTCTCCTCTGCACAGCCCACCCCTCTGCCTGTAGACCACAGACTCTCCTCTCCCGTACCTGAGGAGGTGGTAGAGCCCAGTGGCCCCTACACAGAGCTGGTGGGTTGCCTCATGTACCTGATGACTTGCACTCGCCCAGATCTCGCATACCCTCTCAGCATCCTGGCGCGCTTTGTGGCCACAGGGAGACACCGACCGCAGCACTGGTCTGCCGCTAAGAGGGTTTTGCGTTATCTTGCTAGTACATCGGGCATGGGGTTCGTGCTTGGAGGACGCAGGCCAGTGGTCCTTACTGGACACACAGACGCTTCGTGGGCAGACGACGCTGAGACACTCAGGTCTACCCAGGGCTACTGCTTCAGCCTTGGCTCAGGTGCTGTCTCGTGGAGAGCTACCCGCTCCTCGTCTGTTGCACAGTCCAGCTGTGAGGCTGAGATCTACGCTGGTGCCATGGCGGCACAGGAGCTCCGCTGGCTGACCTTCTTGCTCACTGACTTAGGTGAGCGGCCTAGCTCTGCCCCGGTCCTGTTCGCTAACAACAGGGCCATGATCCTCCTGTGTCAGGAGCCTCGACTCGAGGGCAGAGCGAAGCACATTCAGCTGCGGTACTTCCTCCTGCGTGAGCTACAGCAGCGACGTCAGGCTCGCGTAGTACACTTGGCCTCCGGTGCCAACACAGCTGATATGTTTACAAAGGCGCTTGCGCCTAAAGATCATCAGCGGCACTGTGTACAGCTTGGTCTAGTTCCTGTCGCTTCTCACTTGCTAGGACCTTGACTTGTACTGTCCTTTATATGTATACTCAGACTGGACTTGTGTCCTCTCCCAGTGGCTGGACTAGTAGTGCCGTCCTGGTCTTGTTCTTGCCTTGTCTGTACTCCTTCTGACTGGTCTCTCAGACCCTTGTCTCAGAGGTTGGACTAGTAGTGCCACCCTGAGTTGCTTGTTTAGGGTATGCCCCTATGCAGTCTAGGGGGTGTGTCAAACATCTGTATTTGTCATGTTTGTATAGACTGTATAGGGTTACCTCTTAGAGGGTACAACACTTAGGTATATTTGTGTGTACTCTCACTTCACCACACAACATTCCAATTCTGATACATTTTGCGTTATTCTGATAACTAGATGTGAAAGGGAGATCTATGCACTTGTGGTAACACCTAGCATGCGTACTTTGCATTATACAATATGGTAAGAACCAACTTACGGTAGAGAACGCACAGAGGCGGCGATTTGCGAAGGGAGAACACACAGAGAACACACAGAATTTATAAGGGTGAAAAGGCAGCTTCATAGACCTCAGCGCTATAGAAGAGATCTAGCACAACAGTGGTGTTGAACTTGATAGAGCCACCCGCTGGGATGATCGCTGCGTTTTCGGGTGCACCCAGAGGAGGTAGTATCTGCGAGGGGGCAGGGGAGGGAGAGAGAGAGAGAGAGAGAGAGAGAGAGAGAGAGAGAGAGAGAGAGAGAGAGAGAGAGAGAGAGAGAGAGAGAGAGGAAAAGAGAGAGAGAGAGAGAGAGAGAGAGAGAGAGAGAGAGAGAGAGAGAGAGAGAGAGAGAGAGAGAGAAAGAGAGAGAGAGAAGAGAGAGAGAGAGCGAGAGAGAGAGAGAGAGAGAGAGAGAGAGGGAGGGAGAGAGAGAGAGAGAGAGAGGGGGGGGGGAGAAGCGAGATCATCACTGAACAGCAGCAATACCCAACGCAGCAGCAGGGAGCGCACGGCACTCCGCATACCCGCAAGGCAAGGAAAGGCACAGCAAGGCAAGGCAAGGCGAGGAAAGGCACGGCGAGGAAAGGCGAGGCAAGGCGAGGCAAGGTAAGGCATGGATTCGAACCGTGAAGACGGTGATGGCCTGAAAATTGTCGCGTGTAGAGAATGTGAGGCGCGGCAGCAGGATGTAGGAGCGCAGGCGAACGCGCGACACACTGATGCTCAGCAGAGAGATGGCCCGCTGCTGACACGTGTTGTTCAGAGTGATCTGCACACGCAGGGGATGGGGGGAGAGGCGAGGGGGAGGAGGAGGTGGGGGGGGGGGGGGGGGTGGGGGTGGCGGGTGGCTAAGGGAAGAAACCGAGGGGAATCTGCAAAGGAGGAGATGAGGAAGCGACATGGTGTGGAGTTCAAGCAGGAAAGTGTTACATGAAGAAGCAAGCTTACAACGAAGCGAGCGAGAAGAGCACTAGTTGGGCCAGTGAGAAGGATAGAAAGGGAGATAGAAAGCGCAGAAGATTGGAAGTTTGAAAGAAATCAGAGAAGGAGAAAGGCACCAACAACAACTGGGAAGGTACAGAGGGGACGGATGGCGGAGGGCGATGGGCAGAGGGCTAGGGGCGGGTTGGTAGGGGACCTCGTAGGGATGCAGGGAGACGAAGGAGGAGGTTCTGGGGAAGGAATACGGATGGCGGAACGATGAAATCGTCACGGCTTCCCTCACTCTGTCGTCCCTGCACTCTGCGCGAGGGGGAGGGGGGCGGAGAGGGGGGGAGGAAGGGCAGGGTGGGGGAGATTAAATGGGGGAGAAAGGGGGCATGGGAATGTAGGGATTTGCAGATAGAGGCTCATGCGGGTGGGGGAGAGAAGTGGGAAGTGGCGCGGGATGCGCGGATGAGGATGGCGAGAGAGCGGGAGACGGCGCGAGAGGGACGCTAGAGAGAGTGCAGCATGCAGTGAGAGAACGTCCAGGAGCAAAGCGGCATGAGAGGTAAGGGAGAGGGGGAAGGACGCTGAGGCTCGCAAGGCGAGGTGGATAGGGAGGAGGGAGGAGGGAGGGAGTAAGGCAGAGGGAAGGAGAAGGGAAGTGGGAGGAGGGAGGAGGGAAGAAGGATGAAGGGAGAGGGGTGGTGGGAGTGAGGGCGATAGGACACCTGGTGGTAGGTCGTTGGCTTGTTGTGATGGTCGGCCCACAGAGGGGGATGGCAGTGCTTGTGGCAGCGAGGCTGCAGCCACGCCCGCACTGCTTGAAGCTAGAACCCGGTGGACGACTGCTGAAGCACTACTAGATCCGGTGCTGCTGCTGCCTGCTGCTTCCTCACGTCTGATGTCAGCAGCATCAGCAGCAGCATCAGCAGCAGCAGCATCAGCAGCAGCATCAGCAGCACCAGCAGCAGCAGCAGCAGCAGAACCGCATAGGACGGTATGACTGCTGCCAGCAGCAGCCGCAGTAATATGGAGCTCTTCCATGCAATCCGCACTTCCCCGCTGCTCTTCTCCCTCCCCCCCCTTCCCCGTCTCCCCTGTCTCCCCTTCCCCCACTCGTAACGTCCGTCGTACCACCTGTGGTCTCAAAACCACGCTCCCTTTTACCCCATCCTCCCCCCCGTGGCTCACAACCCCCGCCCCACCGCGTCCCTCCGCCCCCCAATTTGCCCCCCCCGCCGTCCCCGCCAGCATCAGCGCCACCGCTAGGACGCGCCAGTATATCCCCGCGGGGGACAGCTGCGCGCGCATGGTCGCAGGCCGCGCGGCAAGACAAGGGAGGGTTGAGACGGCGAAAGTCTGCGCAGGACGGCGGCGGAAGCGGAACGGCAGAGGGGAGATGAGCGAGCGGCGGATTGTGCGAGGGGCGGATAGAGCGAGGGTTGGATGGAGGGAGGGGCGGATGGAGCGAGGGGCGGATAGAGCCAGGGGCGGATAGAGCGAGGGGCGGAAAGGAAAGACAGAGGTGAACGTCGATGCGGCACGAGACGGCCCGTGGGGCAGCAGGGATGGTAGAAATCAAAATCACGAGGTGGACGTCGTTGTGGCCCCCGGCCTTCTTTTGCCAATCCGCTCAAAATCAGCCAGAAGAACCCAAAATCACTCAGAAACACGCAGAAGCGCTCAAAATCAGGCGGTGGATAGCGGCTGAAGGGAGAGGCTGCTGCGAAGGCCCAGGCTCAAGTGCACGCCCGTGTGGCTAAATTCGGGCGTTGCAGTGCTACCCGAAAAATGAGGGGACTATGCAGACGAGGAGGCGTTGAAATGTGAGTTATATGAGAGGTGGGTGCACTGTGGCGCGAACTACTACTACTAGGAGTCGAGAACAGAGGCCCGTAGTACGTGGAGGGAGGGCAGAAGGTAGGCTGGAGGAGATGGCGAAGCGTGGGAGACGACGGGACGCATGGAGAACATCGGCTGAACTGCTCCTTCGGTTTCCTCGGTGGCATGGGTGCCTTGGGAGTTGTCAAGCACCGGGGCGTGCAGCGAGCGACGAGTCGGATCGGCGCGGCTCTGAGCGCGTTCATGGTAGTGACTGGCAGGGGCAGTCACTGGCGTTGCAGGGGTTTGCGGTTGGAGGATGAGGAATGCCAAGCATTAAGCGCGGAGGCAGGGGCAAATGGTAACAGCAAGACGCAAGATTGTTGAGACAGGGAGAAATGGGCTGGATGTTGAGTTTGTCGGTTGGTATGGGAGATGAAACGGCGGGATACGAACCGGCACAAATCTGTACAGTGAACTGCTTGATTATTGTGAATGCACATTTGCTTTACGTTGTTATGGCTTCTACTTTATCAGGAAAACACTTTCCTTACTCTTCATCCTACACACTAGCATGTACATCCGTTGCCGTCGGCTCTGCCTGATTACCACTTGTTTGCCTGTTGCATATTTTGTCGGCCCAGCCTACGTTAGCATTGCGGAGCCACTCGTTCGTGTAGAAGTGAACCACGTGTTTAGGGTGGCCAAGATCTAGAGTGTCAAACATATATTGATATGTTATAGGCTAGATAGGTGCAATCATATAGAGAGTACGACCCCTTAGACAAAACTCCCTTGTACCTCATTCTATTCAATCTGTTACTCTGAGATGGTATCACGCTAGTAGGTTAGGATCAGGGCTGACGTTTCAAAAAAAGGCACTCTGAGCCAACCCCCCCAAAAAAAAAAATAGTCTGAAGGGCCTTCAGCCAAAATTTTTGTAGTCTAAAATGTCAGGGTCCAGAACTCAGCGAGTCTGATTTTTTCAGGGTCCAGGACGTACAACCAGAGTCACACACGGGAAACACCCCCACAGCGAGAAACTTCCCTCCCTCCTACACCTCCCAAAAATTCGGCTAAGTCCCTTGCAGCCATAAAAAATCCTCCCACAGCCCGCGCCCCCCCCCAACCAGCAACCTTGTCATACCCTCGTTTTGCGTAGTTGTTAAATGTGGGAAATGGGGAAGTCATTCCTAAAAACCGAGGGGGTAAAATCGCACTGCCACGGAAAACGAAACTGAGGAGAGGGGGAATCGAAACTGACGGGGAAATGGGGAGGGAATCAAAATGGAGGGGAGGGGGGAAGCGAAACGAAGGGGAGGGGGGGAAGGGGGGGGGCGGTCGAAACGGAGAGGATGGGGGAAGCGAAACGGAGAGGAAGGGGGAAGTGATTGAAACAGAGGGGAGGGGGGGGAATCGAAACGGCAGGGAGGGGGGAAGCTGGGGAATAGGACGGTGGGAGAAATTTCGCGCCCTTGCAGCGCCCCGGTGGGGAAATCTTGGACGTTAATCACAACATAACATCGAACGATTGATATATGTCGAAACGATCGCAAACGATCGTGACCGTTACATTTTGGTAGACTTTCAGTTGACCAAACGGGCAACTGGCGAGAATTTCCTTATCTTAAAAATGCGGAATTTACTCTCATTCCAATGCAGTTAAAAAAAAAAAGTGAAAGTCTCATTCAAAACTTCTGGGTTGTTCCAGGTGTTAGGGAGGACTGTATCTGACAACATGACTTAGTCGAAATTTAGGGTGGGTTGTGGGGTGTGTGGGGGATGTCTCTAGTGTTCCGGGACTTTAGATGGGTTGTGGGGTGTGGGGTGGGGGTTGTCTCTAGGGTTCGGGGACTTGGCCAATTTTTTTTAGGGGTTGTGGGGTGTGTGGGGCATGTCTCTAGCAATTGGGGACTTCACCAAATTTTCCGAAGGTTGGTACTATACAGGTAATGAGTCAGGGTCTGTACGCGCTGTGCTCTGAAAACTCAGTACTGGGTTAGCGACAACTCTGATTTTCTCAGGATCCCTAGAATCGTACTCTGAAGGGATCAGGATTGGGAAAATGCCTTATCTGGAAATTCAGGTTTGGCCAAAAAACAGGTCTGAGATTTCAGACTAATCAGAGTAAATAGTCTGATAAAGTCAGCCCTGGTTAGGATCCCGCCCACCCGCGCTTCCGACCTAGTCCTAGCCGTAGCCCGCTGGCCGCCCGTCGCCCGTAGCTCGCTGGCCCCCGACACCCGTAGCCCGCTGACCGCCCGACGCCCGTCGGCCGCTGGCAGCCCATAGCCAGGCTGCTCGTCGCTCGTAGCCCGTCCCCGCTGGCTGCCCGCTGCCGCCAGCCGCTGCCCGTCGCTGCTGGCCACCCGCTGCCACCAGCCGCTGCCCGTCGCCGCTGGCCGCCCGCTGCCGCCAGCCGCCTGCCGCTGTTGGCCGCCCGATGCCGCCAGCCCGCCCACCGCCGCTGGCCCGCCTGCAGCCGCCAGCCAGCCTTGGCTCCACCTCTGAGCCGGCGCTCCCGCAGGCTGCCTCCACCGCACTCCACCGCTCTCCACCACACTCCACAGCACTCCACCACTCTCCACCGCACCCCACCGCACTCCATCGCTCCCCCCGCCGTCCTCCTCCTCCTTTCCTCCTCCCCTTGTCAGCGGTAGTCAGCTGCTGCAGCCGGTGATGGCGGACTCTCTGCTCCGCCTGGACGCGGAGGGTCGGGCCGTTAAGTTTGAGGCGTGGCTCGTCGACCTCCACCACCAGCTGACCAGACAGCGCTAGGACGGCCACTCCCTGGCTGTCCATGTCGACGGTAAGCTCCCTCGCCCCGCCCCGCCTGCTGCCCTCCCTGACGCCCCAACGTCTGCTGAGCACGAGGCTTTTGTCGCTGCTGAGCTTGCCTGCGCTATCTAGGATTCGTGCGACGCCGTTGCTCAGCTTGCCATTAGTCAAGCCCTCCCCCTGTCTGAGCGTTCCCGCTTCACCGCTGTCTCAAACGTCAAGGAATACATATATACCGTCATCGTGCGCTATTCCACCCCCACCTCCGCCTTTGCCGGCCGCCTTATCCTCCCCATGCTGTTCCCTAACCTTGCGTCTTTCCCCACTGTCGCTGACCTTACCACTCACCTCCGCGCACTAGAGACTAGCTACCGCGCTGCTAGCTTTGAGGCACAGCTCATTGCCTTTCCGCCGCAGCTTTGCGCGACCCTTTACCTCGCCACGCGTCTGCCTAATTGCCTAGCCACTACTGCGTCACATGTCCCATCACGGGCTTCTCCGTGGTCGCCCTGCGTCACTCTCTGCCCTCCCTCCCTTGCCTGAGCAGCTGTACATGCCATGCGTCGAGGGCCGGCCACACCATGCTCCCCACTCCTCCTTGCTCCCCCCTACCACTGTGCCCCTCCAGATCCTGCACCGCATCAAGAACGCTACTTTCTAGTGCTTGTCGACGGCTTCACGCGCTACACTACGGTGCTTTCCCTGGAGCGGAAGGCCGACGTGCTTGATGTTCTTATCTCGTGGATCATAGCTGCACGAGTAGACTGCGACCTCCCCGTCCTGCGTGTCCATTTTGACCGTGGCGGCGAGTACGTCTCCGGTCGGCTTGGCCATTTCTGTCGCGCGGAGGGCATTACCCAGTCGTACACCTTACATGACTCCCTGCAGCAGAGCGGGGTCGCTGAGTGACACATCGGTTTGGTTATACAGGTGGCTCGTACCTCCATGATCCATGCCAGTGCACCCCATTTTCTATGGCCGTTCGCTGTTCGCTACGCTGCTCACCAGCTTAACCTGTGGCCACACTACCAACGGCCACAGGTTTCGCCGACCCTTCTCGGACCGGGTTCCTACGTGACGCGTCTGCGTTCCACATCTGGGGCTGCCTTGCTCACGTTCGTGCCTTTGGCACGGACAAGCTCACAGCCGGTACCGTCCCTTATGTCTTCCTTGGTTTCCCCCTGGACTGATACCTTTACCACCCGTCGTCTCACCGTTTGTTTCACTCTCGTGACGTCACTTTTGACGAGTCTGTCTTCTTCTACACCCGCTTTTCCCACCAAGGTCTCCCGGTTCCCCCCCCCCTTTTCTTAGTCCCCACCCCTCCGGTAGCCCCTGATCCTCTTCCTTCCCGTCCTGCCCCATCTGGTGTGTCTCACGACACTCCACCCTACGTCGGTTGTCCGAGTCGAGGAGTCCACAGACTCCGGGGGCCCTCCGGCTTCAGCGTCGCTTCCTGTCTCTGCCCCGATGTCCCCTCTTCCGCCGCCACTACACCTGCCGCCATCGCCGCCGCAGCAGCCGTCGTCGCTGCCACAGTCGCAGCAGCAGTCGTCTTGGTTGCAACTGCCGCAGGGGTCCGTGAGCTCTGGGGGTGCGGGCGTTGAGGAGGGTGCTTGTCCTAGGGGTACTATCGTGGCTTGTCCCGGCGGTCTTGGGGGTGGCACCGGTGCTGTAGAGGGTTCTCGCTCTGGGGGTGCTGGTTTTGGGTGTGCTAGTCCTCGGAGTACTGTCATGGCTTGTGCTGGCGGTCTTGGGGGTGGCGCCGGTGCTGGAGAGGGTTCTCGTTCTGGGGGTGATGTCGTGGAGCGTCCCGCAGGTAGCTGTGATGCAGTTGGAGTTTCTGGTATCGGCGTGGAGGGACAGAAACAACAGTCGCCGCCGGTGTCTGCCCTTCGCCTCCTCAATCTTCCCTCCCCTAACTGCCCACCTGCGCCTCCCACGCCTGTCTACGGTGCTGCGATTCCTCCGCTGGACTTGTCTCCGGCTCGTTTTCCCCCTCGTCCTCCTCCTGTGACTCCTAATCCTAGGCCTCCGTCCCACTTTTCGTTTCGCCGTCCCTCTTGTGCTCGTCCTATCTCTCTTGTTCAGAGCTCTCACCCTATGTTGCTCCGTTCCAACACGTCTTGTGCTCCCCTTCTACCGTCACCTCCTCAGTCATCGCTTGTTGTCTCCACTCCTCCGCTCTCTGACTTCCTCCGTGCCGATAGTCCGTTTGTCCCTCGCGTTCTCGCTTCTCTTGTTACCAACCCTTCCGTTCCTCCCTCCAGTTTTGACGCTCTTCTCGCTGCCGTGGCTGACTTCACCTCTACCCATCGCCTTAACTATGCCAACGCTCTAAATTTATGACCCTGCCCATCCTCCGTCCGTCAGGGGTGCACATGCCCTTGGCAGTGACGTTCTAGAGGACAGGCACTACGAGTTCACTTTTCTGTCCGAGGCCGCTCCCCATCTCTGCTCCATGTTGCTAGTCCCCGAGGGTGACCCAGACGTCCTTGACATCCCGACCCCTTGCACTTATGCTAAGGCGACCTCGGGACCCTGGGCCTCTCAGTGGATAGCTGCCATGGACGCGAGATGGCATCTTGGAGATCCACCGGCACCTACGTCGATGCAGTTCTCCCACCTGGGGTGAGCCTAGTCGATGGCCAGTGGCTCTTCAAGGTGAAGCACCCTCCTGAAGAGACGCCGGTGTTCAAGGCACGCTATATTGCTAGAGGCTTCAGTCAGCGTGAGGGGGGTTGACTTCCTTCAAACCATCGCCCCAACTCCAAAGATGACCACTGTTCGGCCACTACAACGCGTAGCAGCGAAGTGTGACTATGAGCTGCACTCTCTCGACTTCTCGACACCGTTTCTTCAGGGAAGTCTTCACTAGCAGGTCTACCTACGTCGCCCGCCAGGCTTTACCGGCACCTTCGTCCAGGGGACCTAGTGGCTCCTCCGCCGCACGGTACGGCTTGCGGCAGGCGCCTCAAGAGTGGTACGTCACACTTTGTGCTACGTTAGCTGATCTGCAGTTCTTCCCGTCGTCTGCAGACACCTCGCTCTTCGCGGTTATGGCCAGACCCCGTTCTCGATCCTTGTCTATGTAGTCGGCCTGGTCTTTGCTACTGCAGACAGAGATGCACTGGCTGCCATGAAGGTTGAATTGCTGAGGAGACACACCTGCACTGACCTAGGAGAGCTGCGCCGCTACCTTGGCCTGCAGATCTCCAGGGACATAGCATAACGCACCATCAACCTCACACAGTCACACTTGGTGCGCCAGGTCCTTCAGAGGTTCGGTCTTCAATTCTCCTCTGCATAGCCCACACCGCTGCCAGTAGATTACTGGCTCTCAGCTCCAATCTTTGAGGAGTTAGTAGAGGCTAGTGGTCCATACGCAGACCTGGTGGGTTGCCTCATGTGCCTGATGACTTGCACTCGTCCAGATCTCGCATCCTCTCTCAGCATTCTGGCTCGCTTTGTGGCAATAGGCGGACACCGACCGTAGCCCAGGTCGATCGTAAAGAGGGTTTTGCGTTATCTAGGAAGTACATCGGGCATGGGGCTAGTGCTTGGAGGACGCAGGCCAGTGGTCCAAATAGGGCACATGGACGCTTCGTGGGCAAACGACGGTGAGACGCTTAGGTCCTCCTAGGGCTACTACTCTAACCTTTATGCAGGTGCCATCTGGTGGAGGTCCACTCGCTCGTCATCTGTGGCCTAATCTAGCTATGAGGCTGAGATCTACGTCGGTGACATGGCAGCACAGGAGCTCCGCTGGCTGAACTTCTTGCTCGCAGACGTAGGTGAGTGGCGTAGCTCTTCCCGGTTCTGTACGCCAACAAACAGGGCCATGATCCTCCAGTGTCAGGAGCCTTGACTGGAGGGCAGAGCGAAGCACATCCAGCTGCGTTACTTCGTTCTACGCGAGCTACAGCAGTGTCGCCAGGCCCGCGTAGTACACTTAGCCTTCATTGCCAACACTGCTGATATCTTTACAAAGGCGCTTACGCCTAAAGATTATCTGCAACACTGTGTATAGGTTGGTCTCGTTCTCACTTGCTAGGACCTTGGTTGTGTACTACTCCTTTTATTATCTTGACGTGCCTTGTGGCCCTTGTTCCAGTGGGTGGACTAGTAGTGCCGCACTAGGTTGCTCCTGTTTTGTTTGTACTCTTGCTAACTGGTCTTCGGACCCTTGCCTCAGAGGTTGGACTAGTAGTGCCACCCTGAGCTGCGTGTCTCTTTCCAGGCACTGCCCCTCATCTAACCTAGGGAGTGTGTCAAACATATATTGATATGTTATAGACTAGATAGGTGCAATCCTATAGAGAGTACAACCCTTCAGTCAAAACTCCCTTGTACCTATCATTCTATTCAATATGTTACTCTGAGATAGAGTTGGTGGAACCACGAGCAAAAAGTCAGCGGAAGACTTTAAACCTTGCATTGGAAACGTCTGAAATGACAAGGATAATTATAATGAGTAATACCGACATATTTAGAGTCTAGGAAGTACCTGTTCGTAATGTACTTGTTCGTAGTGTATCGCGACTATTTGCGTGACATGACTAGTGACTGTTTGTAAGAGTGAGAGTGGCGTGACGCTTCGGGTGACTATACACTCACCTACTATTCACGAGTTGACTCGCTTTACTGACGTCATCACGCGTGTCCTTCCATATGAGGCGTCGCGTGACTAGTACAGTCGAAGTGTAATATCAGGAATGCATAAGTGGTAACTCTGTCGAGTATACTTCAACTCTCCCCTTCATTCGCCAATGTATATCTCTGGGTAAGTGTTGCCGCGTGGGAGTTTCTTCGTCAAGAAATTAGATGCCATTTCTTTTGTAGAGCAGTATTTAAGGATGACCTTCCCTTTGTCGAATTCGTCCTTGACGAAGAAGTAACAGAGGGCAATGTGTTTTGCCTTGTTGATGAAGCCAGATCGTTTCGATTTTCGCAAAATCCATAGCTTGCTGCGACGAATTGAACTTCGGTCGACGAAAGTGCGATGACCTCCTGTTTTGTTGAGTTCCAAGAAATGACACCACGTGATTCAACTTTGAAGATGAATCCTGTATGCGAATGCCTGTTATCAGGGTCAGCAGTGTAATCCGCATCAACGTATCCAAGCACTCAAAAATTTGTTGCAGTATTTGTCATGTAGCTGAGACCGATTGTAAAAGTAGACATGAAATATTGAAGGGCTCGACGAAGATCGGCTATATTCTCCCTGTCACAGGATCGAATGTGTCGAGGAAAGGTTGCACTATCAATCAGTACAAGGCGCTTTTATACTTCCAAAGTACATCAGGTAACCAGGTTTATCTTATCCCAAGGGAATAGACCCTTCTAGAAGATAGAATCACCCTGCATATAGCCACGCGAGGCTATTGGCTTTAAGGGATTACGGCGGGATTACGCTAGATATAGCGCACCAGTACATCCCGAGCCTGGTCGGTGAAATTAGGATAATAACAGGGAAAACCAAAGGTGTATGGAAAAGGAGAAATAGGAATCTAAATGGAATGAGATAAAAACCAAATGAATCGAGATGAAAAATGGAAAGGGGAAAGGAATGGAACGGGGTCGTACTCTCACACTTCCCCCCCTCAAAGCTGGGTGGTAGACGTAACACCCTGCTTCACAAGGTAGTCGCGAAGAGGACGACGAGCGTGATCCATCTCGGATTCAGAGACCCAACTATCCTCTGAAGGATCATAACCCTTCCAACGAATGAGAAGCTCCACGATGCCATTCCGTCGATGGTGGTGAGCAAGCACGGACTCGACCTCGTACTCGGGTTCATCATGGACGAGGACGGGCGGCGGCGGCGGCAGTTGGCGTCCAGAGAAGACCGTGTTGGGATCTCGGTAGGGCTTCAAGAGTTGGACATGGAAGGCGTTGTGCATCTTCCAGGTAGCTGGCAGTAAGCGGAAGGTAAAAGGAGTGACCTATGCTTCAACGAGAAAAGGCCCGCAAAAGCGAGGTCGCAGTTTGGATGGGAGATGGTTGAGGTCAAGATTGCGTGTGTCGAGTAGTACTCGGTCTCCCACGGTAATGGTGTGGTCTGTGCGGTGGCGATCGGCTTGGCGCTTCTGTTGTTGCTGAATGTCGAGAAGGCGCTTGTGGGTCCGATCCCAAAGTTTGTGCATGGTCGTGATGAAATCATGAGCGGGTTGGACTGTGGCTGGTATGGTTGGTTGTTGAGGTGTGAGTGGGTGGCATCCGTAACAGAGGAAGAACGGCATCTGTCCAGTAGCGGCGTGAGTAGCATTGTTGTAGGCAAACTCCAGGACGGGCAGATGCAAGTCCCATTTGGAGATGTCGTCCTTGCAGGCTGCACGGAGGAGTTGCTCCACAATTTGGTTGAGGCACTCGGTCTGTCCATCTGTCTGCGGATGGTAGGCGGATGACATGGCGAGTTTGGTCCCGAGTAGAGACATCAGTTCTTTCCAGAATTTACTGGTGAACTTAGGGTCTCGGTCGGAGATGAGTGTGGTTGGAATGCCATGTTGTCAGATGATGTAGCGAACAAAGAGTTGTGCCGTCTCCTCGGTGCGTGCTGTCGTGTGTGTCGGGATGAAGTGTCCCATTTTGGAGAACTTGTCAATGACGATGAGGATCGCATCATGTCCGCTCGTGGTAGTTAGTAGCCTCGTGATGAAGTCTAGGCTGACCACTTGCCATGGCTGTTCTGGGACAGGAAGAGGCTGTAGCAGTCCCGCCTTTTTCTGCTTGCTGCTCTTCACCGGCTGACATGTAGTGCATGAGGTGACGAATTTCTGTACGTCATCTGCCATGTGGGGCCAGTAGTAGTGTTTGGCGATACCGGTGAGCGTTTTGTTGCTACCGAAGTGCCCCGCGTATAGGACGTCGTGGTATTCTTCGAGAAGTAACTGGCGCAATGGAGGGTAATTAGGTACCCAGATCTTCATTGATCCTTTCCGGTACGCGATGTCGTTGTCCCACTGTAGCAGATGTCCTTTTTCTGCCAAGGGAATTTCTGGGTCGATGGTATACCCCTGTATGAAGAGTCCCTTGAGGAGTGGATTCATCCCTTCAACTTGGATGGCGGCAACGTGTGCAGGCCGGCTAAGCGCGTCTGCTTTGTTTTTGTGGCCGGGCTTGTACACGATATCGTAGTGGAAGTGTCTCTCGAGGAAGTCAGTCCACCGGACCTGCCGCCTGGAGAGGCTTGGTTGTGTCTTCAAATATTTTAGGCTGCAATGGTCGGTGTAGACTGTCGTCTTGCGTCCTTTGAGATAACATCTCCACGTTTTGAAGGCAATGATGATAGCAAGGGCCTCCTTGTCGTGTATCGGGTAGTTGAGTTCTGCTCCATGTAGTTTCTTGCTGAGGTAGGCGATTGGTTGCAGTCCATTCCCCTGGTCCTGCATCAAGACTGCTCCCACTGCCTGGTCGCTGGCGTTAGCTTCGATGACGTAGTCGCGTTCGGGGTCTGGCAAGATGAGTACGGGTGCAGACGTGAGTGTTTGTTTCAGCTGCTCCACGACTTCCTGGTGTTGTGGCTCCCATTAATACGGCGTGTTCTTTTTAGCAGATTCGTGAGTGGCGTGGTGATCTTCGCTTATTGTGGCACGAACCTGTTGTAGTAGTTAGCTAAGCCAAGGAACTGCTGTAACTCCTTAACGTTCTCGGGTGTCTTCCACGTACGCACGTCTTTGATTTTCTTGGGGTCTACGTGAACTCCTTGAGCGCTTACGATATGTCCGAGGAATTGGACCTTCTCGTGAGCGAAGTCGCTCTTGGATAGTTTGACGTTGAAGCGTTCTCGTCGAAGAACTTCGAAGACGCGTCGTAGGTGCTCGACGTGTTATTGCATGTCGCGCGAGCAGATGAGGATGTCGTCCAGGTACACCACCACGCATTCGTCCAAGAGTGGGCGTAGGATATGATTCATCTTTGCTTGGAATGTTGCAGGTGCATTGGTGAGTCCGAACGGCATGACCAAATACTCGTACGATCCGTACCGAGTACGGAAGGCAGTCTTGTGAACAGAATTGTCCGCCATTCTTATCTGCCAGTATCCGGACCGCAGATCTAGTTTTGAAAATATCGTAGCTCCCCGAAGCTGGTCAAGCAGGTCATCGATTCATGGTATCGGATATTTGTTCTTGATGGTCTGCTTATTGAGAGCTCGGTAGTCGATGCACATGCGCAGGCTTCCGTCCGGTTTCGGCGTGAAGAGCACTGGGGCACCGTATGGTGAAGTGGATGGTTGGATGAGTCCTTTGGCGAGGAGATACTCGATCTGCTTCTTCATGTCGGCTAGTTCTGTGCGGCTTAGCCGTTATGGTGCTCATAAGGTCGGCTTCGAAGATGGCTTCTCCACGATCTCGTGTTGGTGCGTTCGGTATGGCGATAGTTCGTCCAGGAGGTCGTCGGGAAGAATGTCTTGGAACTCCTTTAGTAAGTCCTCGATTTTGTCTGGAGTTTCCGAGGCTTTCTCTCCGTCGGTTTCCACCTCTATTGCTATCGCTAGGAACCCGGTGTCGGTTCGTTTCACGTCCTTCTCGAATCTGGCTAGTGTCTCCACAGGGATATCTCCTGTATCGTCCAAGTTGGGTAGCCGGACTCTCCTTCCTTTGTTGTAGATGCTTGCGGTGCGGTTTACCCAGTTGATCTCGGGGTTGAATTTCTTGAGGAAGTCTCGCCCGAAGATCAGGTCAAGCCCTTTCATGTTGGTGATGGGGAGAGCAGGTTTCCAGCGCAGTGGACCGATTTGTAGCTGTAGCACTGCTTCGCCGTATACTGGTAACTTGCTGCCGTCCACCATCGTTGCAGAAAACGCTGATGGCTCTTACTCTCCTCGAAGTCGGTCGATGGTTGCCTTGTCGCATACAGTGTGCGATGCTCCGCTGTCCACGAGTACTTGGAGGCGTCGTCTTTTGCAAATGACCTCGAGCACGAGGGGCAGGCGTTGCTCGGAGTACCCAAAGATAGTTTCATTGATTGGGTCATAGGGTACATCCCAATATTCGTTGCTTCCTACTCCTAAGCTGGCAGCTGGTCGAGGCTGCTTGGACAAGGGTTCTTCTCCAGGGCCCGGAGTTTCCGAGACGACTGTTCGTGTCGTTGAAGAAGTTGCCGAGTTGGATGCATCCGATGAAGGAGTTCGGGGTTTTTGCAGCTTCTTGTAGACCCCGAGCTTCCTTTTGAGCCGCTTCAGCTCCACCAACGTCTTCCCTGGGGAACGGGTAGTCACTGTGGGCTGGTGTCGGGAGAGGACGTTGACTCCGTGGAAAGGTCGGCTTCTTTCCACACTCCTTAATTTGGTCCCCAAGTTCTCCGGTACCGGTACGATCTCCACAATTTTCTGCTTCTTCTGGAGTCCCTCCCGAAATTTCTCCAAGGCTCTAGCCCCTCGAGAATTATAAGTTTTCATTAAAGCATCTTTATAAGATAACTTTAACGAATCCTTTTAATATCTTGGGTCTTCAAGGAGTTTCCCCGTCTTGACAGAGTCCTTTTCCGCGGCCGATATGACGTCACTGTAGCTCGCGTAGATTGTTGCTGCCACTTGTCGTTTGACTTCGGTCTTCAGCCGGGCGAGGTACGATTGTAATTTTTCCTCTTCGGTCAGGTCGGGAATGCGGTTATAAAATTCCTCCATCTGCTGCATGTACTGTGCTACACTCCCGAACTGTCGATGGCGATGAATTTTTTCGCGGGCAAGGAAACCCGAATTTATCGGCTCGAAACGTTTCAGCAGGTCGGTGCGGAACTGCTGCCACGTGGCTTCGCCGTGGATGAACGTGCTGTTACCGCCGATCCACTCAAGTGCCGGCCCTCGCATCAGTGTTGCCGCGAGTCGTACGCGTTGACCGTCCCAGACTGGCGAGCTCCATCCGACGGCTGCGAAGTAGATCTCCATCCCGGCGATCCATCTGCGGATGTCGGAGTTTCGATCGCTCGGATCGAATGGCTCAGGTGGGCGCTGTTTCGGAGCCTCGAGAAACTGTTGCGACTGCTGCGTCGTCGCCGTTGTCGTTTCGTGTTGGGCGCCGGCGAGTCGAGTTACTCGCTCGAACTCGTTTTGCCAAGCTTCGCGGTCGGCTCGCATCTCCTCCTGTAGGGCTACGATGCGCGCGAAGAGTTGCTGGGTAACTTCGGCGTTGTCGAAATTCGCCATCCTGTTCAAAACACGCGCGGGGGGGGGGGGGTAATCCGAAAAAACGCGGAGCTGGTGCTTACCAGAATCGGCATCGAATTGGTCGCCCCCAGCGTTTTTTCGAGGCAGGATCCCCGCTGCTGCTGCTTAGCTGGGCGCGGCCGAGTGAGAAAAGCTCTGATTGCCAAGTGTTACAGGATCAAATGTGTCGAGGAAAGGTTGCACTATCAATCAGTACAAGGCGCTTTTATACTTCCAAAGTACATCAGGTAACCATGTTTATCTTATCCCAAGGGAATAGACCCTTCTAGAAGATAGAATCACCCTGCGTATAGCCACGCGAGGCTATTGGCTTTAAGGGATTACGGCAGGATTACGCTAGATATAGCGCACCTGTACATCCCGAGCCTGGTCGGTGATATAAGGATAATAAGCGGATAAACCAAAGGTGTATGGAAAAGGAGGAATAGGAATCTAAATGGAATGAGATAAAAACCAAATGGATCAAGATGAAAAATGGAAAGGGGGAAGGAATGGAACGGGGTCGTACTCTCACACTCCCCTTCAGGTTGGTGCAGGTACTATGCGAGCTAACTTGTGTTGTAGGCAAGATCTGGGCGGCTTGTAACGGCTGCAAATTGAAGACACCCGAGCAGCTGCTGGTAGAGCTGATGCTTGGAGGCGGTAAATGGGGTAGTATTGGGTGTGTGATTGGCTAGAATATGACGAAAAGTAGTGGTGAGGCCGATTGGAGAGATGGCGAACTTTTTCGCAAGTGTTTCTGCGTACACGCACGCGACGTTTAACCCAAGAAATTGGGTGACGTTGGAGGAAATAGTAACTTCAAGAATCGTTTGGATTCTTTCCTCCACGCGCACCACGAGCCGGTGTATAGTAAGTCGTCCATGTAGGCAATTAGAAGAATGTAATGTTCTTGAAATTCAAGTCTGTACATTCCAGGGTCATGGGGCAGCTGCACGAAGTCGAGTGAAATCAAAACCTTGTGAAGATGTTGCTGCCATAGGCAAGGAGCATGTTTGATGTCGTAGAGTGATTTATGTAATTTGCAGATGTGTAGTTCGTCGCCGTAAATGTGAGGGAGTTCGACGTTAATATCTGCATCGATGTTTGCGTATAAGAACACATTTTTAATGTCTAGTTGGCGAAGTGGCTGATGGCGGCTGGCAGCAATAGCGAGAAGAATTCGAACTGACGTATGGCGGCTGACGGGAGCAAAAGTCTGGTCGTAGTCGATGCCATGGGTTTGTTCGAAACCTCAAATGATCCATCTCCCCTTGAATTTGTTTGGTTCCCTTACTGCGTTTGTCTAGGTCCCACTGGGTTTGTCTTGATGCGAAAGTCCCACTTGCCCAAAAGAATCTTCTTGCTACGTGCTGCTTCGCGTGGAACGAGTTTCCACGTTTTCCACTTCTCAAGAGCTGCTACCTCTGCATCCGTAGTTGCTTGCCACTTGTTAGCATTAGGGTCGGAGAGGTCTTGCTTTACTTTTTTCGGCTCGATCCCAGTCGTTGGTTGCTGAAATGCGACAGCAAGGCCAAGGATCTAAAGAGTCGATTGGTCACCACGAGGATGAGGTTGGCAAACTTCGATGACGTCATCATCGTCGATTTCGAATGGCAGATGGCGGGCACCGTTATGTGATGCTGCATCAATTTTTTGTCGGCGCAGGTGCTCCTTATAATTATAGGCAGCGTGTATCGTGGCAAGACACAACGGGTCTGAGAGCAGAATGAAGAGCAGAGTTTTTGTGTTGTTGGCACGTATCAAAGGAATGTAGGAGTCGAATAATGGTTTGGCTACTGACGTAGACGGCTGCGGAACTGTAGAAGATTCTGCCGCTGCGCTTTTGGGTGGATAATATTCTTTGGCTGCATCTGCTTTGTCTTGAAGGGTGGCGAAAATTTGTTCGGCACTATAGCGATCAGAATCCCGTTGCTGGTGTTCCATGTCGCGTTCGAAGTCATCGAGAAAAAGTTTATCGTAGAAGATGCAGTATGGGACATACAAAACCTTTTGGGTTTCGTAATCCACAATTCTTCATGAATAGGAATCCTTGGGTACACCAAGGTGTATTCCCCATCGAGACTGTTCAGTAAATTTGCCCACAGCTGCGCTCGGAGGTCTGTATCGGACTATGCAGCCCCAAACTCGTAGAAGTCAAGTGTCGGCGGGGTGATTTGTCCACATGATGTCTGGCAAGGTGAACTGAGGTAGAGATCTTGAAGACAGGCAATTGTGTAGGTGGACAGCTTGCGCCATCAGAAACGGCAAAAGAATCTGCTGTCAAGCTCGATTATTGCAGCAGCATGCGCATTTTCTCTTGCAGCTTTCTGTTTGTCCTCTCAGCTACTCGGTTCTGCTGATGGGCGTAAGATACAGTCTTGCGCCTGAGTATCCCTTTCCGCGCCAGGAATTTATCGAGCTGCTCACTGGTGTACTCGTCCGCGTTGTCTGTCTGGATCTCTTTCAGCTTGATGCCCCTCTACCGCTCCACGATTTTCAGTCATAGCTTGTGCCAGACGTATTGAGTAGCACCGTCGATGAAGGTAATTATATAGCAGTAGTCGTTGCCGCTGATATCCTCTGCTTCCTGCAGCATGAAGAGTATGTAACTAAAACTGACGTAGGTGCGTAATTGGTAGCACTCGGAAAGTGTGATGGAACGGAGCGTTTGTAGGTGGGCTTCGGGGCAGATGGTACCGTGTAGTTGACGACTGCTAGGTTGAATCTCTTGGCCGCTGGTTAGAAGGAGTGCGTCCTTGTCGAAAACTGGGGCTTTACTGTAACAGAAACAATTGTCTTTATGTTTAACATTAATTTGGGTATATAGGAATTACGAACGCTGCATATTAAGCCTTAGTGTTTAATGGTAGTACGATTTGGGAGGGGCACATAGTGGATCTGTTCACAACACAACAATCCAGAACAGTACATTGGATCCAACTCATATCCCAAAAGATATACAAAGACTGCATCCGGACAAATCGTTCCAAGTAGAGAGAGCAAACTTCAGAGTTGCGATTCTAGTACCTAGTCCATCGATCCTTGTCCTTGATCACCACTCGCACCCTCTTAGGCATGTTACTGTATCTACAAGGTTAGTGCAAACCTAGGCACAGATCCTCTCACACGTTTCCTGGACCCACCATTTTGCATAAAGGGGTGGGCACTAGGAAAATCGCGAAGGTGTTGGGCGTACGCAAGAGGATCATGGACGATTTCGGATTGGATGGTATCTCTGAGACTAGCCATTCTGAGACGGTTGGCCTCGTCTTATCACAGATAATCTTCATCGTACCATTGTAAGGTAAAATCCCAAACAAATTGGCCAATTCAAGCGTATACACCGCAAAACTGAGGGTAACGTAGCACGGTCGATAATGCACCCTTGCACTATTGAATTCGCGCTAGGATCCACGAGTCTAGTCGTGGTGCAGCATTCGTAGAAGCCTTGACTGTTCTGGAAGAATACGTGGGGCTGGCTGCAATTCATGGAGTTGCATGTTGAGTAGACAATTAATGTTCGAAAGCATGTGATCTTGTCAAATGGGACCAAGATCAACTACTTCTACTCTTATGGCCGCACGTTTGCCTGGATTCGTAAAGGCACAACCCTGCAGCGCCACCAAATCTAACACACAGTAAACCATGGGGACAAGGCAAGGTGATGGTGTGGGGGTGGGGTTCATATGCAAGACCGACGTGCGCATGGACATGTCCCTGTATGAGGGCATTTTGCACAATGAACTCGAATCGACCCTTGATATCTACATAATTTCCCCCTCTAAGGTCATTTCGGTGCGAACAATGACCCGAAGCATTTGTCATGCCTAGTACATGATTGACTTGGAGAGCAAGAGTATGTAGCGCTAGAGTGGCCTTCTTCCTCATCAAACCTCAACCTTTGGGCTTTCCCTGAAGAGGGAGCTGACCAAGTATAAAAGGCCTCCCTCTAGAATGCTGAAGCTTTGGGAGTGGGTCCAGGAAGAATGGGAGAAGATCCATGCCGAGGTTTGCTCTAACTTTATCGACAACACGCCTAGGAGGGTGCAGGCGGTGATCGAGTTCAAGGGTCACTGGTCATCGAGAAAAAGTTTATCGTAGAAGATGCAGTATGGGATGACCTAATTACTTGTGCCAGCTTTTTGCTATAGCCTTATGTCCCTTAGAACGTAGGTACAAGTCAGAGTGAATGAACAAGGCCGTCAATAGATACATCGTTGGCATAGGGTTCAACCCAAAGGCTGAAAGAACCTGGCTTCTTCTGCAGTTTCAACCCAAAGTATGCCGAGATGTCGGCGACGCACCCAAGCATGAGGTATGATTAACTCTTTCTTGCCCCATGTGTGTTCAATCTCCATAGGTTCTTCGACTATAGCAGATGTCGGCTCTTGATTTTCATAACCCCTATTTCCATCTCTAGATGCGCATGCTGCTTTACCTGTTCCTATTACTGTTGATGCTACTTCAGTTATCTCGATAGCAGATTCGTCGATGGAGTTGGTGCAAGAAGGCTGAGGCGTGACGCTTAAGACATTCAGACCACGATGGTCTTGGCGTTGAAGATCGGTTTCCCAATGATGATGCCGAGGGGCAAGTGAGACGTTATTCTCACTGTCGCCAGATGCTTTTACAAGTGAAAACCGTAGAAATGAAACGCCGTCTTTGAATTTTGTGATGCCGACTAAATTGCTTTTGACTTCCTTCTTGTTGCCTAGGAACAACTCCGTGAGCATCGTGTTGGCGATGCTGACGAAAGAAATGCCGCTTTCCATCAGCTGCTCTTGTGATAGCAAGTTGAAGCCTAATCCCGTGGCGACAAGAACCTTATTCAGGTGAAGTGAGACTTCTGTGTCGTCGAACTCGAGTATCACGTCTCCAATTATGGTTGCTTCAAAAACTTGATTGTTGGCAACCGTGATGTTGCATTTCTCCTCTTTCGGCAGATCTCTCTAGTTGAGGAGATAGAGACTTGAAGAGGCCATGTGGTGACCGCAGTAGCTGTCAAGAAACCAAGTGTTAACATGCACGGGATACGTACGTTTGGCGATATGGGCGTACGGCTGCACGTTCAACTGTCGAAGATGTGGAGGTAGGTTGGCTAGCCCTTCTTCCATGTCACTCTCACTGTCATTGTCTCGTCGGCTCCAGTAGCGTATACGACTAGACCTGTGTGGTCCAATCATGCAATTAATAATTGCTTTTCCTTTTGCATGTTGAGTTGAAGAAGTTGAAAGTGGCAAGTTAGTCTTGACAGGGGCGGCAATACCCGACTTCTCCCAATTTCTGTTCTTCAGTTTCTGACACTCTTAAAAATTATGACCTGCTAGTTTGCAAAACTTGCAGAAGCCCTTTCCTCCTTTTCTTGTCTTCTCCCATTAGTTTGATGCACCTCTAGCTTGCTCCCCTTGACTTGGTCCATTTGTATAGAAGCTTAACTCGCTCTTGGCTTTGCCTCTTTCTGTGTTGTACAGGTCCAAATCCTGCTGCTATGCCATCAGAGTAGCGCAAGTTTCTGGGATGTTCCCTTGGGAACGAAGAAGGGACTTGCACTTCCTCCATTCAGGTCCAAGTCGAGCCAGAAGGATAGTGACGAAGATCTCGTTACTAAGATTTCCTCCGCACTTGTTGAGCTGATCCCGAAGAGTTCTGCACCTGTTGATGTATAGTGATGGAAATTAATGGGCTTAAAAATCCATTGCAGTAGATAGACATTGTGATTTAGGCATGATATGTTGTCATAACTCGACAACAACAGATTGCATAGTGTGCCTCTTGGCCTCAGATGCTTAATGCAGTTGGGTGTTGTAACTTTAATCGAATTTCTTGTAAACTGTACCCTAATATGCTGTTGTCACTCGATGCGAACACTTTAGGCCAACATCGAGTCCATATCTATTTCCTGCCTGCATTTTGCGATCTCGCAACGTAAGCTTTCTTTTCTTTCTTGACAGTACAGTGGCAACTACGCCAAGCTCCAAGCGACGATGCGACCACTTCTTTCGAGCCACAAAGATAGGATCGTGACCCTGCTTCGACACGGTCAGAGTTTTCGACAAATTGCAAGGGCATTAGGAATAGGGAAGAGCACAGTACAGAAATACGCACACGAAGCCGCACAACGCATGAGCAG